TTTACTATTACTATATTTTTCGTTATATGTTATATGCCTTCGCTTGTTATTTGTGCGGCAAAATGTGTGTTTAAGAAACAGGTATTTCTCTCTCTCTCTCTCTCTCTCTCTCTCTCAACTGAGAGAGCGTTTGAAATATTATTCTCATGGCATCACTACCTCTGGTATATAAATAAGGATCGCATTTATTATTCGTTGTATTGATTTAATGATACCATTTGTTGATTTGCTTTTTATAAAATACACACAACTCGTCGTCGTTTGGTTTGGCCTCAAAATTAACTCAATTTATTAAATAATTTAATTTAAATAAATTAAGACCAAAGAGAAAACATTCATTAATTTAAAAAACAAAATATCAGATATTTTATACACATTTTAATTAATGATTTCCAATTAATAGTTGAAGAGTACTTAAAACACCGGTTTATTATTACAATATATTGTGTGTATTAATATTATTTGCCATACATTTGATAAAATACACACGAATTGCAAATAAATCCATAAAAATAGAGGAATTATTGCACTGAAAAGTTCTGTATAATTATTGTTTGCCTATAATTTATATGAAATTATATTTCAAACCCAGTGTTTCAGTAGAAGTTCAGGAATAGCTGTGTTTCCCTTGAATTTTAATTACGTGAGCCATTCATTACTCAATCAATTATAATGCATATACAAGTTATATACCCCTCTCGATCTCAAGCCCTTGTGCTTCATATAATTAGTGTTAAAGTAAGTACAGTATTGGACATTAAAAAAATATATGCATATATTTTAGCTCAGCTGTAGTTTTGTGAATATATTTTAGCTTAAAATTCATTATTATTAAATTTAGATACGGTTTCGAAACTGAAATTAGTGTTCAGTAAATCTAATATACGATATATTTTTAGGGGTGAGGACTGAGAGAAACATAAAACCCGTTTTGTGAACAAAACGTGTTGTCATTTAAGGAGAGAGACCTTTAATATACTGTTGAAATTCTATGCATTTTTTGTAATTTTGTTATTTTTAAATTCAGTAAAAATAATTATAAATAATATAAAGTAATCAAAGAATTTACAGATAATGACAATCAACCGGAGGTCTTAAAAATCAGGAGTTTTGCCATAAAAACTGTTTTTTGTTTTCCTTTAAATTATTTCCATTTATCTATCATTTTCTGGGATTTCATTAAATATATCTAACTATATATCTAACGACTCAATCAATAGATTAATCGATTATTTAGTTTCTTTTTATACAACAAATAAAATAAGTTGAGAAAACATATCTCATTTGGATTCACGAAACACTGGGGAAAACATCACTTTCTTTTTTCTGATGAGAAAAACAAACAAATAGTTAAATATCTTTCAGAAAACTCAACGAAGAGAGAGAGAGAGAGAGAGAGAGAGAATTTTGTTTTGCTTTTATATAAACGATTCATGTGTTTATATATACAGTACTATAAATACTATTCTTGTTTTTTCAGTCGATTTCTGGAGATTTCATGTTTTTTCATATATATATTTAAAAGTATTTGAAGAGAAGATTTTTACTTTATTTTTGTGTTTTGTTTTTCTCGATAAACACAGTATACAGTATGTTATTTTGTGCACTGATTTTGTTCAGTCAAATTCAATCTCAGTTTCTGTGAGAAAAACATTTAACTGAACAAAAAAACATAATTTTCAACATAAAGAAGAAATGAAATCTCAATCGTTTTGATGTCAAAACCAGACCATAGATTCAAAACACTCTTCATTTTTGGTTTCGGTTAGTGTTTTGCTTTCCTCTCATAAAAAGGCAGAGAATTTGCCATAAATTGAGAGAAAATTCCGGACGAAAAACACACAAAAATACGGTTTTAAACCCAACAGAGAGACGAAATAAATTAAATGTGAAAAATTCTTTGCCTTCACTTTTAGCGAGATTTTTATCGCAATTTTCTTCGTGTGTTTTGTTTTGTTTGTCCGGCAATAAAATGTCTGTTGAAATAAACCTTTTTCTCTGTCACTCCTTTAACCAGAAAATCAAATAACTATAAGAATATACACACAATTGTAATATCGTTTCCGTCGAGAGAGAGAGAGAGAGAGAGAATGAGTGATCAATTGAAAACTCAAAAACAGTCGGAAAATCTTAGATTAAATTTAGTTCTCGTATTTTGATTAGAAGTTTATTATAGATAGAAATTAATACACATTAAAGTTAAGCACAAAATTAAGACTTTGAGAGCCAATTACGGGGATTCGCAGCAGAATTGTTGCAGTCATGCAATCAATTACTAAATCCATACAATTTATAACACAAATAAGTTTTCTTCGGTAATGAGTTTTCTCTCTCTATTTCTCTCACTTCGTTACGGATTTTAAAACATTTAGATTCACTCGACTTTAAAATGCAATTTGCAATTAATATCTAGCTATTAATATACAGTACATACCATCGTATGGACAGCCATACAATTCAAAGCGTAGGCAAACTGTCCGCAAGTGTTTGGAGTACGGGTAGAGTCGGATCCGATTGACGCCAACGATGGGCAGATCCAAGTCGTGTTCAACCACTGAAAATGTGTCCACATTTCCATCCAATAACTAATGGATATATCAAATGAATATATGATATGAGAAATAGTGGCGAAGAAAGTTATTATTATTGTAAGAAATACTAAAATATTATTATCATTATTAATGGCTAAGGAATGACCGAAACGTTATAACGTTATGCAATAAAAAAAGTGTTTATTTCGTATAAACTCTTGTTATTTTCGGCCGATATTATAAAAAACAGTGTTGTTTTGCGGACACAACACAGCAATAGACATATCATAGAGTGGTATAAAATTCCTGTAATAATTCATAATAATGTGTTCACATCTCTAACCATAACTTTTTTTTACTATTACTATATTTTTCGTTATATGTTATATGCCTTCGCTTGTTATTTGTGCGGCAAAATGTGTGTTTAAGAAACAGGTATTTCTCTCTCTCTCTCTCTCTCATCGCCTACTCTTTCCTCTATTGATAACATTGAAAGCCGTGGAAGAAAAGTAAGTAACGATTTTTTATTGAGTTTTTGCAATAATGGGAATGAATTTCTTTAGGAAATGATCGTTACGTCCGATCGCGATATCGATTCCTCGAGATCTTTGGCCACAAAAAAATGATATAATGTGTGATAAAAATCAGGCGAAGAAAAATGTATGGATAACTCTTTGAATAACACGATTGCCACACATTTTCTACATCACGTCAACCAAACAAATAATCGTTTACTTATTTATTACGTGTGAATATAATTGCATGAAATGTGCATTTAATTAGTGAAGAGAGAGAGAGAGAGAGAGAGAGTTGCTTTTTATAATTATCATTCAATAATTTTTAACCACAATTCATCTATGAATAAAATAGTTTATTGGATCGTTCTGCCCCCCTTCCCTCTCTTTCCTTTCCCCTATGGAGAATAACATGGGATCCCATGTTAATTCTATGGCTATACTTTAACATGGGAAAGCTCTCATAGAGACGCTTTAACATGGGTTTCTATGGGATTACAGCTTAAGTCTATGACATATTAGTAACATGGGCAATGTAAAGTCTATAGGTAATGCTGAGTTTATGACATAGGATTAATATAGTTAATGCTGAGTCTATGATATTGGTCGCCAATGTAGGTATGCCGCATACCTTAGTGTAGCCACATGTCCAATTAAAATATAAAACTTAAATATATAAATATATGTACATAATATGTTGATTAAATTGACAATTCACAGAAATTTAACATTATAATTAAATATAATTATATTTAACATAGAGGACATAACGTGTTTACATATTTTAGATCTACTTTTAATTGTGAGCAATTTTATCATTAATGAAATTGCTTAAAAATAATAAAACAAATCGTATTTGCCAAAAAACATTGAGATCACGTTTGAAAATATGATTATTAAGTCAAATATTAATAAATTGTTGATATTCGTCAATATTATCACAAATCTCATTAAAAATGTGATTTAATAAATGAATTTCTATGATTCTTAATTTAAAATGACGTTTGTGTGGATAGACTGAAAGCTAACCACAATAGACAACTAGATAAGAAACTATTAGGTTGACCTTCGTGTGCTGTTCCTTGTTTAACCTAAACCTAAATCTTTTTACCGACCGTTGCGCCACCTATTCATGGCACACTGTGAATTTGAATCTGGCTAATCTAAAAAGACATTGGCGACTAATAGTCTATGACATAGGCTTAACATAGTTAATGCTAAGTTTATGGATAGTGTTAAGTGTATAGGTAATGTTAAATCTATTGATAATATTGATTGTATGAGATTAATGTGTGTGTTATATCTATGGAATAAGTCTATGACAAGTCTATCGTACTAATATTAAATCTATGGACAATGCTAATTTATTCTTTGATCAATACCCAAAATGTAGTTAAAGTATAGCATCGCTGTGTGTGAGTTGTTTATAAATATATACAAATGTATAACTTATACAACTGTTTAATTAAAACTATACTTAAAAGCGAGTCTTTGACGAAATCATAGATTCCGATCTCAAGGAAGCGTCCATTTGTGGCCAAACACTCCAAACTTGCGAACAATTTTTCGTCGGACAATGAGTTGAGGACCACATCGACGCCCGCGCCGTCCGTTTCGGTCATAACGTGACGCCGGAAAGCGGTTGCGTCTCGGGATGTGCTGAAACACTCGTCGCCTAAACTCGGGAACAACTCCTGAAGGAACTGGCGTTTGGCGTCGGAGCCAACGGTTATCAATAGACGACAGTTCAGACTCAGGCATATTCTGATGGCCGCCTGACCCACACCACCGCTACCCGAATGGATCAATACTGACTCTTTTGGCCGTAATTTACCCCTAATTATGAGCGCATAATACGCTGTTCCGTAAACGCAGGGAACAGTAGCCGCCTCTTCCATCGACCAGTGATCGGGAATCGGCCATAAAAAGTGTATTTCTTTGACCAGACAAGTGGTGGCCAACGCTTTGGACAAAACCATTCCCATCACTCGATTCATGTTCTCATCCCTTCCCGCAAATTCTGAACCAATCAGGCATTCGGTCTCTCCGTCGGGAGCTTTCAATTGAAGTCGACCTAAAGTATAGCAAATATTAGTCACTATTAGGTATTAAATGAGGTGATAGTGAACCGATTGACTGACCCGTCGCTAACATTATATCTTTAAAATTGAGGGCCGAATAGTATATGTGAACCAACTTTTCGCCGATCTTCCGGTTCAGCGGCCAATACTTGTGCTGACATTCAAACCATTGAAACGAAGACAAATCGCCTCTGTTTTGCAAATTGAGAAAACAGTGTTCGGTATCTATAGTCTTGCGCCGCACCGGCAGCTCATTGAGTACATAATGACCGACTTTACCATCTCTTAACACATTTATTGCCAAATCATTTTTGATGATATCGTTTAACATAGTATTTGTTTTGTCCGATACCACTGGCCTTTGGGTGTCGTTATTTGTGTCCATTATCTGCAGGCATCTGATCCGATGTCCGTTCGGCTCCTTTCGTATGCAATTCATGAAACCCAACAACCCCTCAGCCGATCCGTTGGCGACTAACCAGATATTCTGTTCAATGGATTTGTTGCCGATTTCACTGAATTCGCGTTGAAATCTCTGCAACCAAAGCCTGTAATCGTTGGTAAATTTGATGATTATCTGTCTTTCAATCAATGGGTCAATAATTATCTTTCGAAACAAAAGTGAGTGAACGGCGAAACAGTGTTTCTTATGGGAAACCATACGAAAACCAATCTTCTGCGCCAAAGCCATCACCTCCTCATCCATCCCGACCTTCAATACAATCAATAAAAATCCATTTTCAATGAGGTTTTGCCAAAAATGTAAAAATAATGTATTGTTTTTTCCGGTTTGGATCTCATTGGCTGTTAAATTGCATAGACTTTGATCCTTATAGACAATCAGATCAATATTTCCGTCATTCACATCAGATCCCAGACATGAATCGTTGAGAGTAAAAGTATTTGAATACAAGTTTTTGTCCTCTTTATTGAAGCCAATAGTATTGCCAATCAATACAAAGTTAACGTCGAGACTGTAGTGCAACATATCTATCGCCGACATAACTGTGCCATACATTGGCGCTGAGCTCTCATTTACTTCCAACACATTCACGCGATTACAACTCAATTGATTGAGATTTTGGGCAAATATTGTGAGTTGAGAGCGAAGACAGGTTCGCTCGTCATATGATGAACACGTCATGTCATTATCCAATCCATGTTTAAAGTTCTCGTCAAACGCGACGAACTTATAGCTCATGTGAGCCGGCGTTTGGGACTTGACATCCCTGTGCAGAGGACTGGTCCGCACTCCACGGATCTCCAGTCCCGGCGTCACCATTATATTGAGGTGCGGATCAAATACGGTCCGCCTCTCGACAACTTGTCCGCTAAACAGTTGCTTTGGATCGCATCGGAGCTCATCGATGGCCACCGGAACTACCAATTGTTTTGATCGCGTAATTAGAGATGTCTGTAACAAACAGTCGCAAAATGTGACCCAATTCTGGCGCCACTCAATACCGGCCGACCAATACGTGTCCCGAATCTCGTGGGCGTCGGTTATGCAGCGAAAACTCGGGCCGTAATTATAACCCCGAGTTCTCAACATTTTGTACACATCATTACTTTGCAATAAAATGGGCGTTTCATGACTCGTGTCGGCCATCGACTGTATTTCATTCAATACAGACGTGTATCGCAGCGGTTGATCGCCGGTAATCTCGCGTACAGTACCGCTCACCGCAATTGATCCGCTTTCGATAATATGAAAACGTCCGGTACTTCTGTCCAAATTCACATTGAATGTGACTTTTTTATCGGCCGTCACGGGTGTGGCCCGTAGTAGCTGTACGTCACGGAACTCCACCGATAACTCCTTGTATGAGATTTTCTTGTGAAAAGCCAGTGAACGCCACGCGAGCATCAGATACCCGGTGCCCGGGAATAGGATTTTGCCATCAATACAGTGATCAAGAATGTACTGGTCGTTCACATCCTGTCAATTATTTTGTAATATAAATTAATCACTTTTTATATAATTATATAAATTGTTTTTGTATAATGATTATACAGCGCTAAATTGTACTTGTAGTGTATTGATCGGCAACGTGTTTTTAAGTTAGACAAATTTAAATTCAAAATGTGCCATAAATAGGTGGCGTATCAGTGAAAACCGACAATCAGTCAAAATATTTAAAGTCAAGTGAATTTAAACAAGAAACACGACGTGAAATCAACCTACAACAGTAGTTTCTCACCCATTTGTTATTGTGATTGGCTATAAGTGTAATTACCAGAGACAGTTGAATTATGGAAATCCATGTTTTTTGTGTTAATTCTAATCGCTTGGAAATTGAAAGATCTGCAACGATCATGAAATAATGAGTTTTTTGAGACCACATTTATGTTCCATAAAACTTCATATTGTGCCTCAAACTCCATATCTCCATAAATATGTCCATATATTGGATATTTTGGGTAAAATACACAAAAAGAGCTCAAAATCGCTTAATTTTATACAAATTTCGTCGCAATTTAACATAAAAATTACAATTATTTTTTTTTAAAATATTGTACAATAGCTATAAATAATTTTTTCAAAAATATATTTCCCTGTATTATTAATTCACACAACGTGATTCATTAGTTGGGTGCATCAAATCAGTACAATCCATACAATCAATAAACAATATTACAATTTTTAAAAATATATGGATATATTGTGTGATAAACGAAAAATATGATTAAAGAATACGTTAAATGCATAAAATGTCATTTTTTTGACTAATTTTTTACTATAAATTGATATGATTATCAATTTTAGATTGATAAAATCAATTTTGAAACTCCATATATAAGTCCATATATTGGCATTTTTATGTCCATAAATCCATCCATAATTTTCAAAAATAAGTCCATATATAAATCGACTTTGGTAATTACAAAACGTTATATTAAATAATAATTCACAGAAAATTATAAGAAAAAACAAGAAACTATTGTACCACAGTTTAATAAGATTTGTTATAGTGTTTGCGATTTTATTTTATTAATATACAGTCTGGCCCCGAATTTAGCATGTCACTGGTGTTGTGAAAAAGATGTGCCAAAATTGGGTTCTGCTAACATCGGGTTCATTAGGAGTGCTAATATGACTCGCAGGTGCTAACAAAACCTTATGCAATAATCAAATTATTCAAACAAATCAAATTAATCAACCTTATGCTAAAATCGCGTGTGCCAAAATTCGGGGCCTTACTGTATTTTTACATTTACATCACAACTCAATTATCTAAATTAAAATAAGTAAGCCCTAAAAAGCACAATATATATTAAATGCTATAAATTATTAATCTATTACTAATTATTAATTAATTATTAAATATTAATTTAGTTAGGTAAATTAAGTATATGTATTTAAGTTGGGCATGTGGCTACACTAAGTATACCTGGTATAGTTGATTGCCGATCAATATTGTAGTGTAACTGTAGAATTAAACTTACCCTAAAGTCAATGGTATAGGACGCGTCCGACAGATTTCGAAAGTAATTAAAATAATCGGGAAATCGGATCTCACGGTAAGATTTTGTGTGATTCCATTGGATGAATGGCGACAGCATTCGAGTGCCCGTCGATACCGGACCCCCAACTGTAGGATAAAGTCTTTCTATACTAACATTAAAGCCATGGGTATAAGGATCTCACGGTAAGATTTTGTGTGATTCCATTGGATGAATGGCGACAGCATTCGAGTGCCCGTCGATACCGGACCCCCAACTGTAGGATAAAGTCTTTCTATACTAACATTAAAGCCATGGGTATAGAGTCGGCCCAAACCGGTCAACAATAATGACTCGCAATTGTCGTCCATTTTTTTCATTAGAGGAATGTATGTATAATTTGTATTCAAATTCATGATCTCATTCGCCATTAGAGTGTCCGGAGACAAGTCGACAATCACTGACCCGTTGGGCACACAATTAGCGAACGTATTCGTTAACATCGGCGGCAATAGTAGGCAATCGACAAAGTATTTGCTGTTAATATTATGACAATTATAATCGTTTGTATTGGAGATGCATTTGGAGGACATTTTACGATCGGATCCGATCACTGAATCCAACGTCTGAACCAATGTCTCGATGTCTAAGTTTGCGTCCGTACCAGTGGTCAGCACTTCATTGCAATACTGATCTAAACTGTGGCCCATATTATCGCCGTTTAGGTGGCGTGACGTCCGCTTCAGACCCTTCTTGACTGCCATTTTGTCGATGAAATTCCCGCAATAATAGGCCACTAAAAGGGTTTCCCGAACAGTGAGACAGCCGTCCGCATACGCGCACACTATCTCACCGATAGAGTAGCCAATCATATGGTCGGCCGTGATATCCAAATGCCGCAACTGATCCGTCAAAGCCATCTGAATGGCGACCGCAGATAGTATTGTATTCAACACCCAATTGTTGGAATCGGCATTTGGTTTAGTCAATAGAGTTAACAAATCCACGCCTTTGTCCCGCAAGACAACCGCCGACTTATGAATAGAGTTTGAGATAACATCAAAATTGAGCAGTTGTTTGTTAATCGTTGCAAATTGAGACCCATTTCCTGAAAATATAAAACACAATTGTCGGCTCGTTTTGGCCACTTTGTTCATCCGAATCGGTGTAAAATTTAGTCCGGTTTGGACACTGGAGTTGGCGCTAATTAACGTAAAGCCACGGTATCTCATGGGTCGACACCCGGTGCCCGTCTCGTGGGGCGAGCTCTTTGATAATTCATTTATCAAATGTAGTAAATCTCTACTGATTTTTGAAGGCCTTTCAAACAGTTTGCCAAAAAAATACTCGACCGTCGCCTGACTGCGTCCGCACATGTGTACTAAACGCGGATAC